CTATATCAAACCCTGCTCCAGTTAACAGTGGTGTCCCCCAAGGCAGCATTCTAGGACCCACACTCTTTATACTCTATATAAATTACCTTTGCGGTCACCTTATAAGCAACTGCATCCTCTTCACGGATGATGTAAAACTATTCAACACCACTGACAATGCTACTGTTCTTCAAAGTGACCTTGATTTTGTGTCTGAATGGTCAAACAATTGGCAACTCCAAATCTTAACCAACAAATGCTCTGTCCTACACATTGGTAAAAAAAATCAGTACACCAAATACAAGCTAGGTGGATATGACCTCATTGACGACCCTCACTCTGTCAAGGACCTCAGAGGACTCATATCTAATGACCATAGCTCACTGTAACAGCATTGCCAAAAAGGCATTAAGACTTGTAAATCTCTTACAAAGCTTCTCCTCTGGAAATATAAAATTGCTAACTAGGGCATACAAAACCTTTGCTAGACCAATACTCGAATGCAGCTCATCTGTCTGGAATCCGCACTGTATATCGGACATTAATACAATTGAGGGAGTCCAGAAGTATTTCACGAGGAGAGTACTACACTCCTCTGCTCGTAACAGAATACCCTATATCACAAGGCTTGAAATTTTGGACTTGGATAACCTTTAACTACCCCACCTATGGTTGGACTTAAGCATAGCACACAAAATTATCTGCTACAATGTCCTACCAGTCAATGACTACTTCAGCTTCAACTGCAACAATACAAGAGCGCACAACAGATACAAACTCAAAGTTAACCGCTCCAAACTTGATTGCAGAAAGTATGACTTCAGCAACAGAGTGGTCAATGCCTGGAATGCACTACCTGATTCTGTTGTTACATCCTCTAACCCCATTCCTTTAACCTCAAAATATCCACTATTGACCTCACCCCATTCCTTAAGAGGTCTGTAAGGGTCGTGCATAAGTGCGCCATCGTGCCTACTGTCCCTGTCCTATTGTCCCCGTTTATTCGTACCTATTTTCTGTATTCTTACTCATGTTTATGCTTATACCTATTATCTTGTAAGCGATTGACAAATCAATTAAATAAATAAAGCCAGCTTGGTGCCTCTGTTAGCCCAATTCACCTCACAGGGCTATTGTTATGAGGAAAATAGAAGGCAGGAATATTAAGTATGTTCATCACCCTGAACTAATCAAAGAGAAAAAAATTTAGTAAGATAACAGCAGCAGCAACTCAATCCCATGGAATTACTGTTTCAAGTGCTTCTACTATCTTGAAGTAGGACATTCTGATTCTTACTTTAATGAGGAAAAAAAATAGAACTGATTGATACTAAATGCTAGACATGAGAAGACAGGAGGGAGACCTATTATATGGGTAAGAGTATTTTGACTGAAAAGAGTATTTTGACTGAAAACTGAAAGGATTTTGGCTGAAGCATAGCCTAGAAAGGAGCTATTAGAAAGAAGGGAATGGTAGGTAGAAAGAAATGAAGAAAGCCAAAAAAAAATACAAGACAGAGAATCAGATGCTGCAGCAGAAGTTAGAAAATGAAAATATGTGAACATTTATAGAGAAAGTTAGAGGAAAGCCTTTTCATGATCTGAAACAGATGTGCTATTTGGCAAGTTCTGACCAGTTCTGGAGAACCACTAGTGGAAATTTTCAGCAGTTTGGAGAACTGGCAAATATCATCTCTGACTGGAGATTTTACGGTATCCTTCCCTTGCCACTCCCACCAAGCCATGCCCACAGAACCGGTAGTAAAAACAATTGAATCCCACCACTGATCTTAAAGTAATGGCTATATTTTTATAGTAATGGCTATATTTCCCTACCAAGAACTAGATGCACGATTTACAAATGCTGCATAGGAATGATCTTTTTTCTTGTACACCATCTGCTGGGCATAACCTGAAAAGAGACAAGATAGAGAGAGCTGTGAAATTTAGCCTTAGTCACACTTGCATACAGAACAGTTTTGCACTCTTCTTTCTCTGCTGTGTGCCTCATTGGAGCTGTTTTTCCTTTGCACAATTGTTTTGGTTTGTGTTCTTGACTCAGTGTAAAACTATCCCACTCTGCCATGAGATTCTGAAAGCAAGCAACCTTAACAACAACAACAACAAAAGGAGCTGAAGACTGCTGTCCTGTATTCCTGAAAAACAAGCATTCAATAGCAGAACAATACTTCTAAACTCACTACAAAAGACATGAAAATGTCTTTCCTTTTATAGAATATTGTGATAATTCCATGAATCCATATTTAAATATTTCTCAACAGTTACTATGACCACCTCTAGAAGAAGCGATAGCTAAACGAGCAGAAAGCTACCTTGTGGAAGAAAAACAATAACAACAAAGAGTCCCACCATACATTTAAGAACACTTGGCTTCTTGATTTCTGTGGGTCTTATATTGGTTCATTTTAGGGATTAATGAAACTGACATTTCCATCCCCTGAGGAAAACAAGTCTGGAGAGAATTTGCCTTACCTTTCATGATCTGTTTGACAGCTTCAGTCCTGCGATCCACGCCAAGATTCTCCCACTGCCCTGTTGCGTCCAAGTAATAGGTGGCAATGACCGATGGAGTCATGGTGATCATATTTTGCTCCCCACAGCCAGAAGGAGTAATAATGAGATGATTGAGTTTACTTCCATCAATTGAGTTTTCAATAATCTGAGCCACAGGGTCACCTGAATGTGAAAAAATTGCCACACGTGTTAGAAATTAGATAGTTTATGGTCTTGCTTTAAGCTTCAATATCTTTAGGGCAAATGATTAGTCTAATCTTGCTTCCAATTCCACTACCCTTTCTTTAGAGCATTGACCATAGCATAATTAGGTTCCATCCAGGACTAATTTGAAGGTTTATTAACTGATTCATTTATTTCTGTTTCAAGATTCTTTAGCAGTTCTGGGTGGCTTACAGTTAAAAAGAAGAATCAATATATATAGAAAAGGATGCAGCTGACCAAAAGATTGTCAGGCCTGTCCTAGATTGAGCATTTAGAAAAGAAAGACCCTCAACTTCATTTGCAGTGAAAGGTATACTTTTACTAAAGCCAAGTGGTTACCCTCCAGTCATCTTAGTAGTGTCCAATAAAGTTTAAATTAGTTGTTTTGGCAACAATTCTGAGGTTTGGTGCCTCTTTGATAGGTGTTCGCATTCTACTTCTATGCCTGTGTCCTTGAATCGTTCAACCAGTGTCTCTGGTTGGCACTTCTGGTTCCTGTCATACCCCCTCCCTGCATTCACCTTTCCCTCCCCCCATACTTTATGGCAGGCTGCCATCAAAGTGAAGTAGGGTTGAAGCAGTGTGTGGGCAGATCTGGCACTAACTCAATATCAGTAGAAAACCAAACTTTTGCAAGGACTCCACAAGGAAAACCACCTATTTTTTAAATGACTTTCTGAATGTCATTAGAGTTGGACCTGTGTGGATCTGGGGGAGAATGGCATTCCAGAGGGCAGACACTGAGCAGAGAAGAAAAGCTTTCTATAAGATTATGCTGTTTAAACAACAGGACTTGGAAGACATTTATTTTATTTTTTTATTTTTATTTATTTTGTCAAGCAATTATAAGATAACAGGCATAAGTATAAACATAGTTATGGATACATGAAATACATACATATAAGAAAAATAAAAAAGAAACAATAGGACAGGGAAGTTGGTGCGCTTATATATGCCCCCTACAGACCTCTTAGGAAAGAGGGGAGGTCAAGTAGTAGACAGTCTAAGCTTAAAGTTTTTGGGGTCTGGGGAAGAAACCACAGAGTCAGGTAGAGTATTCCAGATATTGACCACTTTGTTGCTGAAGTCATATTTCCTGCAATCAAGTTTGGTGCGGTTTACCTTGAGTTTGTATCTATTGTGTGCTCTTGTATTGTTATGGTTGAAACTGAAGTATTCATTGACAGGTAGGACATTGCAATGTATAATTTTATATACTATACTTAGATCCGACGGAAGGCGGCGTAGTTCTAAGTTTTCTAGGTCTAGAATTTCAAGTCTGGTGGCATAAGGTCATCCACTTTGATTTCACCAGATGGGCAAAAGTAATAAGGTTAAATGTCAGAAATGGGACAGATCTACTGTATCTGTGAATCCAATAAGGAAGGTTATGATCTATACTCCATCTATTCAGGGACAAAAAAATAGGGAGATATTGTTCTATCAAGGAGTCCATCTACAGCACCAGTAGATGGTAACAAAATTGGGCTGGTGACTATTTCATCTTCTAAATTTGACAGATGTAGGAGCCTGGGTTTCAAATAACTAGTTCTTACCTAGAACAGAAATCTTGGTCTCAATTTCTGTTTCAGGCACCTTGTCATCTAATTTATTGGCTATGACCGTTTGTTCCTGGGTTCCATCTAAAAAATGAAAAAGAAAATGAGGAAAATTACAGGAAAAGAAATACCACATTACACGTTAGAGATCTCTTTGACATTATTTCTAATAATCATTTGTAAATGGAATTCAACACAATTATTTTATTAAGCACTTAACAGAAAACAATATAATTGTCTTAAGCACATAACGTTTGCAAAATAAAATAACTTTTATTTGCAGCTGGCATGGTAAAAAGAGCCTCTCTTTTCCCTGGAAATAATAAAGCATGTGGGTGAAAAGACTTAGTAAAAGGTATAATGGGAATTAATGAATAAGAATGAGAGTTACTCACCAACTCCTTTTACCCTTGGGTCCAGTTCAATAACAGTCACAATATTTTTCCGTTCCCCTTCAGGCTGTTATAGAAAAAGACATCAGAATACTCTTTTCTGAGAGCCTCGTTGCAAATCAAAATATCATGCATGACAGCAGCAAATACTTCAAAATGGAAATTACAAATTCAAAAGACTCCTCTGTAGCATCTCTTAGAAATGTAGTAAAATATTCAGAATTGGTACATGGATGCACAATAGGAAAAGACCTAGGTCACCCTCATATCTTCTCAATAGCCAAATCAGCACGGCCCTCTATTAAGGATTAATTTCTATTCCACCAGTCCACATGGGCTCTTAATGGATCCTTGCCCCTTCCTAGAGCTGAATATCCTGGGAGCCCTGGGCTTCCTTATCTCAGATTAAGGGTGAGTGGGCCACAATGTCTCTGGTCACGGAAGAGATTCTTACTTATTCTTACTATACTTTCTTCCTCTCCAATAACAGCTGCTGTATGTTATGTGTGTAGCCCTGCCTCTCACAGAGTGATGTTCCATATATCCGATGAAGTATTGATGATAAAAACATTGCCAGTCTTTAAAATGTTGCAATGCTGATATGACTTTTGTTGCACAAGAGTAACACTCCTCGTCCTCTAGAAACAGTTTAACAATGAAGTCAGCCCTGTTGCTATTTGGGCTTAGTCTATCTTGGGTGACTTCCAGATAAGTTAGACTTGCCTATGGTGATTGTGAATTCTGGGATATATCTTGGGATCTATTGTCCCAGCACGTGCTTTGGTAAGAGTCCCAAAGGGCCTAAATAACAGGAAGCATCATCCAAAACGATTTTTCTCCAGAACTCACTGAAATTCGTGGGGGTTTATGATTTTCTCCAAATTTTCTTTAAAATTTATGTTATTATTTTACTATTTATACAAAATACAATCCTATGCCAACCCATTCATCAATCTGTTCTACCGTGGAACTTTAAATACTAGTTGCATCCTGGGTGTTAAATAGTACTGTTATCCTACAGTAATATTCTTGGGGGTCAAACATTCATGCTATTGCTTTATTTCTAATTTCTAATAAAAATCAGTGCTAACTGATTTTAATGCTTTAATTTCTTTTAGGTTGCTGTATTTTGGTCATATCAAAGAATGTATTCACATGTGATTTTATAATCTAAATATGCAGCCCTACTTCTATTTATCTATTTGTTCAGTCTTTCCCAACTTGATACTTTCCAGATATGTTGAATAACATTCCAGTTATCCCCAATTACCCTACCAATATCCATATATAGTCTTCTAAAAATGCTTTTGATGATTTGCCAGTCTCTGAAACTGTTTGTAGTGATTGAAACAACCAAGAGCTTATGAAGGAAGGGTTTTGCATCCATCTGTCAAACTTCCTGGCATAAAGAAATGCAAGAATGCCTTCCTGTGGTCAAATAACAGATTACAAGTACAGGTAGTCCTCAACTTAGGACAATGGAGCCCAAAGTTTCTGTTGCTAAATGAATCATTTGATAAGTGAGTTTTGCCCCATTTTACAACCTTTCTTGCTAAGTGAATCACTGTGATTGTTAATTTAGTAACATAGTTGTAAAGCGAAATTGGCTTCCTCATT